GAGCCTCTTCCCGAGGAGAAGGTGCTGCGGAGCAAAAAGAGCCCCCCCGCTCCGGGAAAGGCGCCGGGGAGCAGAAAAGGTACAGCGGTGCCGGTCGAGTGCCCCACATGTCATAAAACCTTCCTCAGCAAATATTACCTTAAAGTGCACAACAGGTAAACGCTCCGGCTTCTCCTTCCCCTTGCGCGCGGGGGAACGCGCCGTCCCCACGGCTCTGCCCCTTCCCGGGGTGGGGGGAAAGGGCAGCCTCGGTTCTGCCAGCTTGTCCCAACACCTCGGCATCCCCCGGGGTGCTAAAGGAGGGTCTGTTCTGCCCCTGGGGTCGCTCTGGCGGAGGGTTTTATGTCAATGAAAGACGTCCCAGAGCTGCAGTGACTGTCCTGAGCTGTGGCTCAGGAAGGCATTGTGAGGGGCTCCTTGGGGGCTGCTCTAGCTGTAGGTGGGCAATGGCAAATCCTCCTGGGCTTTGAGAGTGCCCTGGGCTGGGAGGGAAAGTTTCTGGGGTTGCTGGGGACACGTGGCTGGGCTCTGTGAGAAGCTCCAGGGTGGATCACCGAGTGCAGGGCATGGTCCTGCAATGAGAGCACAAGTTTTGCTTCGCTTGTGTTGGGGAAGAATCTTGGCCCTGCAGAAATGGTGTACCGTGGAGCGCAGTGGGCACTGACAGCTGTGCTGTTGAGGGGACTAAAAAGTGTCATAAAAGCAGCTTTTGGGCAGTTGTGAATAGTAGCACTGTCTGGGGTGGGGGGAAGTACCCACCTCACCCTTCCCTGTGACCTCCTGGGCCTGTTTGTGCAGATGCTGTTGACAGGCAGTGATGGGATTCTGTATTTGCATACCCCAAGGAAACACACTGGAGAGAAGCCATTTGAGTGTTCCAAGTGTGGCAAATGTTACTTTAGAAAAGAGAATCTCCTGGAACACGAAGCTAGGAACTGCATGAACCGATCGGAACAGGTACGCCCAGAAGCTGCCCTGCTGGGCTGGAGTGTGGCTGCCATGTGGCAGCAGGGGAGTTGGAGCCTTTTGCCAGTCCCAGTTCCAAACAGACCCCTGCCAGCACCGTGTGGCACGTGTTCCATGGCTGGGACCCCCACAGCCAGGGTCCCTGTGGCTGGGACTCACGCCTGATACACAGCACAGCCCTCACTTGTGTTTCAGCACACCAGGACTCTGTACTGTACAAGATTTGGCTCCTGTGGGTGTGGGTTCAGTGCTGTAGCTGGGCAGGAGGCTGAGCTGTGGGCTCCAGGTCAGGCTCTGGGTGCTGTGGAAGCCAACACCACCCCATCTCTCACAGGTATTCACGTGCTCGGCCTGCCCTGAGGTGTTCAAGCGGCGGATGGAGCTGCGGCTGCACATGGTGTCACACACTGGGGAGATGCCTTACAAGGTCAGCAGGGCCCAAATCCAACATCCCTATGGATGCTGCTGGACACTGGCATGGAGCAGGGATGGGTGTTTCCCTTCTAGGGCAGCCCAGCCCATCAAGAGCTGAGCACACCAGTTCCTTTCTCTGGTCCGTGACAGCCCACTCAGGGTCGTTCCCTGTCTCTGAACCAAAATGTGATCCAGGGAGGCACCACAGCCAAAGGCTTTCCATGGCTGTACCAGGAATCTGTGTTCTACTCAGATTCTACCAGGAATCTGTTCCCTGGCAGTTGGAAGCTGACCTCATTCTCTTGTCTCGCAGTGCTCCTCGTGCTCACAGCAGTTCATGCAGAAGAAGGACCTGCAGAGCCACATGATAAAGCTGCACGGTGCCCCCAAGCCCCATGCGGTAGGGACTGAGGATTTTGGGGAGGGTGGGATCCTGAGTGTGGACCTGGCCTAAGGAATGGCACAACATTATATCTGGCTCTGTCAGTGAGGGGTGGGACACAGAGCTACTGCAAATTGGCTCTGTTGGGTGCAGGAGCAGCCCACAGATCCAAGCACTGACCAGTACTTCATCTCTGTTGGGCTGTCCCATCTTACTGGGTGTCTGTGAGCTGGGGGTGCTGCCTTGGCTTCCACAGGGAGGTCCCTGGAGCAGCTGGGAAAGGCTGGGTGTGAGTGGGTCTGGGGTGGGTGTACCCCAACCCTAACACCCTCCTCTCCTGTGGCCTTGCAGTGCTCAACCTGCTCCAAGTGCTTTCTGTCCCGGACAGAGCTGCGCCTGCACGAGGCCTTCAAGCACCGTGGCGAGAAGCTGTTTGTGTGTGAGGAGTGTGGGCACAGGGCCTCGAGCCGCAACGGCCTCCAGATGCACATCAAAGCCAAGCACAGGTACAATGTCACCCGTGCCCTCTCTAATGTCACCTTAGCTCTCCTGGCTGCAGTCCCTGCCCCACAGGCCTGGGGGTTGGCTGAAAGTCACCCTCTTCGAAGACAGAGGTGCTGGGCTGAGACCCAGGGGGCTGAAGCTGGCAGAGGTGACAGTGACATTTCTCTGCCCACAGGAATGAGAGGCCCTACGTGTGTGAGTTCTGCCACCACGCCTTCACACAGAAAGCCAACCTCAACATGCACCTGCGCACGCACACCGGCGAGAAGCCCTTCCAGTGCCACCTCTGCGGCAAGACCTTCCGGACACAAGGTACCCCTGGCTGGGTTAGGGCTCCAGCATCCAGGAACCCCAGACAGCACCTTCCCCAGGGGCAAAGCCATGCTCTTGTAGTGCAGACTGATACCAAGAAAAGCACGTTCCTGTCACCTGCTCTGCTCTCATGGCATAGAATGGGAACAAGCTGGCATTGCTTATGACCTCTTAGCAGGAGCAGGCTGTTTGTGCTGCTCTTGCCTTCCTGGGCAGCCTGACAGCCCCTGGGATGGGGTGCATGGGCTGTGTTTCTGAGCAGCCACTCTCCCTGTCTCCCCCTGTTAACGGCAGCGAGTCTGGACAAACACAACCGGACGCACACGGGGGAGCGGCCGTTCAGCTGCGAGTTCTGTGAGCAGCGTTTCACGGAGAAGGGGCCGCTGCTGAGGCACGTGGCCAGCCGGCACCAGGAGGGGCGGCCCCACTTCTGCCACATCTGTGGGAAGACATTCAAAGGTAACGTGGGGGCCCTGCAGGAGCTGCCTCCTTCCCGTGGGCGGGCTGGCATTGCTGTGAGCTGCCATGACATGGAGCTGCTGCCAACAGGCTCTCGTTTCCCTTCCCAGCGGTAGAACAGCTGCGTGTCCACGTTCGCCGGCACAAGGGAGTGAGGAAGTTTGAGTGCATTGAGTGTGGCTACAAATTCACACGGCAGGTGAGGCCTTCCCCAGCTCCAGGGGCTCCATGCTGCCCTGGGGAGCCAGCCCTCACTGGGTCTCTCCACATTCCCCTTCCTTTGCAGGCTCACTTGAGGCGCCACATGGAGATCCACGACCGAGTGGAGAACTATAACCCTCGGCAGCGGAAGCTGCGGAACCTGATCATCGAGGATGAGAAGGATGTGATGGTGGTGCTGCAGCCACCACCAGAGCTGGAGGTGGGCTCAGCCGAGGTGATTGTGGAGTCGCTGACCCGTGGGCCACTGCCTGAGGAGGTCCCTGCACAGAAACTCTGTTCAAATGAGAACTTCTCCCCTGCAGATGTGATTGAGCAATCACTGATTATAACTACAACGATTCCTGAAGACTGTGAGACGTAGTGTGGCCACCCATCCCCTTCCACTGAAACACAGTAAAGCATTGAGCTGAGCCACTTTCTGCCACACTTGTTCTTTTAGCCTCCTCCCCTCCTTTCCTGCCAATCTCCCGTCCCAGGCTGCAGGGATAGAAAGTCACCATGACGCTGTGATTGTCAAATGAAGAAATGTCTCAGAACAGTTGCTCCAGTCAGTGTCCATGTGTGATGTGCAGTGGCATGGGACTGACCTCCCTGTGTCATACTGTGACTCACTTTCTGATGCCTGAGGAGCTGGTGCTGCCCTCCCCTTTCCTCCAGCCCTCTCACCCTGCCTGTGATTAAAGCTCACCTTCCCCCACAGAGAGCGGCTCTGCCCATTCCTTAACTCCTCTGTTTAACTGGTGCCTTATTTCTCCTTTGTTTTGTTAAGCCTTTGTCAGTTGCTCTTTCCTTACCCCATTAAAGGCAGGGCATGACCCTTGTCTGCTCAGAACAGAACACACTCCAGCAGCACAAAGTGCCTGCATTCCTGTGCTCACATGTGGGTCATGCTCTGTCCCAAATAACCCAATCCAGGGTTGCTGGGAGAGTGAGAACCATGGCCTGAGTGGTGCCAGGGTGGGGAGAGATCTGTGTGTACCCCCACACTCCAGAACTGCAGCTGTGCTCTCTCCCCTTTCTCCCTCTACTCACCAAGGAGGCAGACAGGCTCCAATTTAAGCATATCTGGAATGAGAAACTCCCAGTAAAATCTCATTCCAGCTCCCTTCCCCTCACAGAGAACAGAATTGTGTAACAAGTTTTATTTAACTTGACTGCTGCAAGTAAATTTAAAAACAAACTATGAGAATAAAAATACATTATCTGCTAATGTAAAATGCCTTTGTTTCAAAGGATGGAGTTCAACTGTACTTGAGGATTCAACACAATGAATTCTACAAAAAATAAATACAGATCTGTAGCTGCTCAGCGGGTGGGACTGGGGGTCCAGCAGCGAGCACAGCCGCGTTATTTATAGCTCAGCAGAAATGCCTGGAGCCACGGCGCCATCAGGAATTGGCCATTGCTCCCAAAAAAAGCAGCAGCTGCCCCGAACTGCGGGCCCCTGTGCCCCCTGCTCTGTCCAGGGGTGTGACACCACGGGGCAGCCGGGCCCTGCTGGCACACCAAGGCACTGTCAGTGATCCAGGCTGGAGAACAGCCCGGGCTCCCCGTGGCTGAGGGGGGCAGCAGCATCAGACAGCATTGAGGCAAAACACGTTTCTGTAAAGCTGAGAAGATGCTGATGCTGTGGAAATGGGGCTCGGATGCTCCTCGATCCAGGGGTAAGCCTGGAGGAGAGAGATCGAGTACATGGGGTTTTCATCTCTGAATTCAGGTTAAATGCAAATTTTTCCTCTATTAGGTAAAATTTAAAGACCAAAAAAGCAAATGCATCCAGCCACACCTTAGCTTCTGCCACACTTCAGGGTTCTCCAGAAGGTGCAGCACTTGCTCTCAGGGAGCCATGCTTCAGGTTCACCCATTTGCTTTCTTCCAGAAACATTCCACAAGTAAACTGCACACAGCTGCTCTTCAGCAAAGGTAGATAAACAGAGCCCACTGGCCAGGGCACTTGGGCAAGTATAAAGGCAAATCTTACACAGGCCAAAATAAAACTGCAAAACCAAAATAAAAAGAAGAAAAAAACCCTAAAATAACTACCTTTCAATCCAACACGTGCACGGGAAGCCTATCTCCCTCCGAGGCACAGAATACGGGAGGGGTTGTCCAGACCACTGCCCTACCAGACAGACCCCTCCCAAGACAGAAACGGAAGGAAGGAGTTTGGTGACAAATGAAGCATTACAGGGTGAAGGAGCTCCCAGTGAAAGGTGTCTGTAAGCAGCGGTGCTGTGGCGTGGCTCACCACGAGTGCTTTCCCCAGGATCAGCTCTCGGGTCCCTGCGGGCAGCGCGGCGCCGTCTCCCACCCTGAAGGGCTGAGGGAAGCAGTGGAGGCCTCGCTGCCTGCAGGCCCACAGCATCACATCCAACAGCCAGAGTTCTTGCTCCCTCCGTGAACAGCATGGGTTTGCTTCCAAGCACTGGTTTGCCTCAGCCTTCTCCCAAAGCAGCCCAGGTTCCGCATGAGGGATTCTGTCAAGCCGCTTCCTGCGCTAAGGCAGCTCATTGAGGTTCTGGTTGTGAAGGTTTTGGTTCTGCCTGCTCAAGCTGATGGTGTTGTCCAGCGTGATGCTGTCGTCCTCCTGTGTGGTTTCTGGCATGAACTGCCGGAAGATGCTGACGCTGCCGTGCCAGAAGATGGGCTCAGGGAGCTGGCCCACGACACTCCACGTTCGTGTCTCGGGGTCGTAGGCTTCCAGCACATCCGAGAGTTCAAAGGTGTTGTCGTAGCCTCCCGAGACATAGAGCTTCCCACCGAGCACAGCCACACTGCCCCCAACGTGAACCTGCAATGTAACAATAAATAAATACACACTGTGGCCAGGGGTGTTTGCCTGATCCAGCAAGGGGGTGGTGGGATCTGAGAGCTGTTTCTTAGAGGGAGTTTCATGGTTGGGCTCTGCACCAGTGCTGCCCACCCAGACATGCCATCACATCCAGGACTGTCTTCCCAGTGACTCCAACACACTTCAACCAGCTCCACACACAAGGGGTTCTGATTCTAAAAAGCTTTTGGTTTTCCAAAGATAAATAAAACTAATTTATAACATTTAAGACATCCTGAAAGTGGGAAAATGTCCTACCTGAAGCATGGCAGGGATTTTATCCCATTCATTCTTTGATGGATTGTAAACATCCACTTCAGCCGAGTCATCTCTGGGGAAGAGAACACAAAATTACTCTTCTGCATTCTAGAAACGCTGCTGGGGTTTTTCATCAAAGCCAAATTTAGATGGGCAGGGGGAGAGAAGAGCTGGGGAGGCAACATAATCCCCCAGGGCTTCTCTTACCCACCCTGCTCGCAGACAGGAGGGCGACAGTGACAGGTGAGGGACGTTTGTGACTCAGAGACATGCGCTGCTGACACAAGAATGCGTGCAGGACAAGGTCAGGGCAGCTGGAGAGGAGCTGTCAGTCCTTCCAAGACAATCCTGGTACAGATGGGATCAAGATGCTGCAAGGCAGCTCTGGGCAGGGTCAGCAGCCAGAGCAGGGGCTCCTCTCCCCACTCTGGGGCAACCACAGAGAGCACCTGAACCTCACTCCTGTGCTTTATTTACAGGTATAAAACTAGTCCCAGCATGAGGGATCATCACTCAGAGCCTTTAGCCTGAGCTATTAAACCAATTTGCTACTTTTACTTGCAACCCACTCCTCTGTCCTCCAAAGATTATCCCACAGCTCCACACAGAGCAGCAGCCCACACTCACACAGCACATGAAATGAGGGAAGAACACCTAACCCTGATCATTTCCTCACTGATTCTTGCAGATGCAAAGTGATCTGGAAATCCTGAAGTGGCAATCATCAGTATTTTAAAATGGGCAAGAAAACAGAAATTCTATAGAATCAGGTTGTGACAAAGAGCTGAGCAGCTGCAACGCCCTGGCAGGACAGACTGAAACCAGCTGACCAGAACAGCCGCCAGCAAGACATTTGGCTGGACCCAAAAGAATCAAATAAAAAGTCTTGGGCCAAAGCTGCTACTTTATGCAAAGCCAAGAGGAGATTAAAAAAAGAGAAGTGCCTGGGGGCCATCACAGAAGTCTCTGTTTGCTCAGAGTCAACACAGGGAGATGAAATGCTCCAGCCCTAGCATGCCTTCCCGTTTATTTTTAATTAAGCGGATAACTGAAGTATTTGCGCCACCAGGACAGCTTCAGATGGGTAATTAAGTCCCAATTTGGAAAGGTGCTTAAAAATAGTGACCAATCACTTCATCTTCAGCCCTCTTATCTCTGCTGAGACGGAAGACGTCCTCTCCTGCACTAGAGTTTAACGTTTTCTTGGAGCTTATGTGCTTATTTATAGCAACGAGGGGGGCTGAACCAGGAGCTGAAGAAACCGAGAAGCCAATTTCCAAGCAGCCCTGCTGACTTCAGATGGATTTACACGTGTCTGTTCCCCAGCTCTGGGTTACACTCAGACATTTTCACACAAGTTTATGGGCAGCTCTTTGAGACCCACCAGCACAAGGAAAGAGGTGTTACAGCTCTCCCTGCACCATCAGGGGAAGCACTGCTGTGCTGTCCCAACCTGCAAAATCCACCTTCCCAGGGAAGCTGTGGGCTCTCCTCATGAAGATATGGGGAGGGAGGGAAGTGATTGCTCCCACTACTCACCGTATGAAGTACATGAGACCATTGAGCGTGACGGTCTTCGGGGCAAAGGACCAGGGCGGCAGGTGGCCACAGTTGACAAGGGACCAGAGATCACTGTCAGGGTCATAGCACTGCATGACCATGGACTCTTTGCCAGCCAGGGAGCCGATGGCGAAGAGCTTCCCTCGGCAGGAGGTGGTGGAGCAGTTGTCCATGGGATAGAGCATGGGCTGCAGGGCCTCCCAGCTGTCCAGCGTGTGGTCATAGCGCTCCGTGCTGTCAGAGGCAACCACGTAGAGCAGCCCGTCCAGGACCGTGGAGCTGTGGTATTCCCTGGCTTTCAGCATGGGCGACACCTCTGTCCACTCGTTGACGCTGGAATTGTACCTCCAGACACAGTCGTACAGCCTGGAGCCGTCCGAGCCCCCTGTGGCACAGCATGACACGTGTCAGGAGCCTGGCTCCACAAAGGGAAGGGGGACGGAGCAGAGGGTTTGGCTTGGCACGTGTGCCACAAGGATTTTAAAGGAAGTTTTGCACTGCTTCATTCCCAGCAAGCCAGGGAGGATTTCTCCCGTGTCGTTCCTAGTCCTTATCCAGCTGTGACTCAAAATGAGTCTTCTATGTTTCACTACCTCTGTCCTCCAACACCCACTTCTCTCCCATTTTACAGCCCCTGCTTTGTCATTGCCCAGAAGCTGCCAAGGCAGCTTGGGAACCTCCCAGCCTTGCCTTTGTCACACTGACACACACCAGACCAACCCAAAATCCCCAGCAGCAGCCTGCACACAGCTCCCAGCAGGACTGACCTGCCTGGGATCACTCCAGGAAGCAACCACAGGATGTAAGGGTTTCTGTAAAAACGTGCTGCATCCATGTGGTAGCCTGTCATTTTTACAACCCTGACCTTAAAGCAAGTCCTTGTTTTCTGCTTGTGACTAGAGAACACACAGTCTTCTGTTCACCTGCATTAAGACTTGCTCTTTAAAGCTCTGCCAGTGCGTCCTGCACACCGAGGGCATGCTGTTCCACAGCGCTGGGTGTGCTGGGCCTCAGTTTGTTACAGCTGTCACAGAGATGCAGTTCAAAGGAGGCATCTGCATGCAGCTTAACAGCCAAATTTACATATTGGTGTCACCTTGACAGAAGTAATTGTAGCCCCAGCAAGGAGGCAGGATTTGTGCAGGGGAAGGTACTGTGACTCACAGGGCTGGCGAAGGAACCTGGGGCTTTCTGACATGCCTCTGCCTCAAGCATGTGATTCAGGGGGCTCTGAACCTGAACACCTTCTTCAAAGAGAGAAACTCAAAACCTTCTTACATCACCCCTGTCCTCAGTGACGGTTAAAAAGTTCTAACTACAAGATCTGTGACTTCTGCCAGCATGCTCAACAGCATTAGTCATGACAAAATAGCTCCTGGACTGAGACCAGCTGCTAAATCCAGCACCGACTCCAGGAGTCTCCATGCCTGCTGGCAGGCTGCAGGCACCCAAGCCAAGTCCCAAACTCCTTGCCACCCAGGAAAAGCCAAGTGTCGCTGCTACAACCTACACATTTCCAACAGAACCCTCACCCTGGTGCTTCCCCTCATTCCCTGCATGCCTTACCAGTGACATAGATGTCGTTGCCCAGCGCAGCGACACTGTAGCCCCCTCCCAGGTGCTCGGGGAACTCGGCCAGGTAGCGCCAGTGGCCAGTGCGTGGGTTGTAGCAGTCGACGGTGACAAGCTCATCACAGTCACGGTCGC